TGTGTGGGTGTGGGTATGGGTGTGGGTGGTGGTGTGTGGGTGTGGGTGTGGGTGGGTGTGGGTGTGGGTGTGGGTAGGTGTGTGAGTGTGGGTGTCTTTATATGTTATCCAAGTCACACCCATACCCTATAATGCACAATCCATATTGTTATTTATTATCAAAAGAAAAGAAATTGATATCATATCGGAATAAACTATTTAAAAAAATATTATCTATTGTTTTAGTGTTATTTATATTAATCTTAATGCATTTTATTCGAATGAAAGTTCCTATAAGTATTTAGTCAGCAATGTCAAACTAATTATTTATCATTAAAATTTTCATCTTATTTAACATATAAAAATTTTCTTCAATCAACTTCATCAAAAACTCTTCTTGCTTCATTTTTTTTCAAAAAATAGTTCAAATCTTGAACGTCTTCTTCAAATTGAATTTCAACCAATATTTATTGATGATGAATCATTTAAACTTGAACAATTAAATTTATCATCTTATTGCAACATACATTAAGACTAATATTTAATTATACTCAATATGATAGAGTTGAATGAGAATTTAAGAACTATTATTCAACATTTCTAATTTTAAAAGATTTTATTTCGAAAAAAAAATAATGTTGATTATTACAGATTAAATTAAAAACGATATGAAGATGATAGTGGTGTAAAATATTGTTCTCGAAATAAAGAATTGTTATCGAGAGTTATTGTCTCATAAATGTCGCTGTGCTTCTTTGAAAAATTGACTCTGTGTGTGGTGATGGCAATTGACTGATTTTATATGTTTTACCATTTGATCCATGTTCACAACGTTCTCTGCAATTATTGAACTAACAAATAACTATATTATCTCAAGACTTGTAGCACAATTCAACAAAAAATAATGCACTATTACTACTTATTTTTAGAAATAATTTTGAATTTATTTCGATTTATTAAAAATTTAAAACCAACTTTTCAAAAAACCAATTTTTATTGAACTAGAATAATGCTCAGAGTTTTCAGTTCCATTTTATCTCTTTGATACTGTATTCGATAGACAATATTCCATTATGAAAGAAGGATTCGGTAACAATTCAAATCTAACCTTCAACTAAGATTTATCATTGTTTTACTGAGTATTTGTCTCATATTCATCAATATTTATCAGAACATTTAATTAACAACTATTAACATTATTTAAATGAACGTCATGGAGGCAATGAAATTTGAGATGACAAGGACACGAATTACAATCTGATTCAGATCCTCACTTTTTTTTACCAGAAAAAAATTATTCTGTGATGCATCAACTCTTGAAGATATCCATATATCACGAAAGATATTCTCTCAAATTTTTTTATATATTGAAAAGATTTATCTATAATATATTGTTTATTTGGTGAAATATCCTTAATATGTTATTGCGATAATTACCCGTTTTTTATTTCAAGATCGTTTGATGAAGTTGAAGTCGATGAAGTTCTTCGTCTTGTTCTTGTTGTTAAATCAATATTTGAACAACATTTACTATAGATATTTGTATAAACCAATATCGATATGATAAGTACAATTAATATAATAAACAAAGGTACTAAAATCTTTAGTTATTTAATTAATAAAGACTATTTTATTAAAAATAAATGAAAACAAAATAAAACTTACTATAATTATAATATAAATTGATCTTTTATTTTGTTTAAATGATTGATCATTAGAATGAATTATGAATGAAGAATATTCAGAAGAATTATTCAATAGAGAAGTTTCCTTTTTGGTAATTAATCTCTGTTGACTTGAAAATAATGATGCAGCTACTATTTTACTTGAACATGCATTTCCATTGAATATCATTAACGAATTACAAATACTAAAAACATTTTATAAGAATTTATTCATTTTCAAGATTCCTCAAGTTTCTCCAATAATCGATCGTGCCTCTCGAACATTCAAGTAGCATTTTATTTTCAGAGTATATTCGAACTATAGCCGAGAAGCTGTGATAATAAGTTTTCTTTGAACCTACGGAGTCGAAATTTTATTTTAGTTTTGTTTTTGAGACAGCATGTCAAGTTGTAGAGGCTGATTAAGTTCTGTTTTAAAAATCCTCATGTTTGCCTTCAAGATTAACGATAATAAGTCAAGTGTCGCCCATAAATCGATAAAAATAGTAATTCTTTCAAAGTTTTATATGCTATGCTGTTTGACTTGCTATTGTTAGTCTTCAACGAAAAAGTAAGAACTTTGTGAAAAGTGACTTTATCAGACTCTATAGTCTGACATGTCCGTACAAATAATTTCGAGTTGTTAAATTTTCTATATGTGATGCTTGTTTGATGAATACTTAATGAACACATCATGTCATGGAAATGAGAAATTGATAGTATTCTCTCTGTTCAAATTCGAACACGAATCTGATGACTCTGTTTATTTGAATGTTCGTAATCGACGATTAATTGTTGAGAAGTTGGAAAATAAATAAATGTTTTAGCTTACAATTCAACTTTGATGATATGCCATTGAGGATAATTTCTATCATAATGTATTGATTGATAAAGATGATAATTATTAGGAAGATTTTTAATAAATAATTCATATAAATCAATATGATTTCCTAAACGAATTAATTCATTATGATGAACTGGTTTATCATCATTATCAATATAATTAATAAATATTCTCAATACACGATTTCCTATACTTGATTTTGATGAAAATAAATCACCTAATTTCCATTGAATTCGATCAAGAAATAAGTGGTAGTTTTTATATGATGAAAATGATAAATAAAGTATATTTGTTTTACAATTATTTGGTGTAACCATAATTGAATATGGATCAACATACTTATTACATTGATAACTAATACATATATCAATACTATTATCAGATTTATTAACAATATAATTACAAAAATTATCCATCGTCTTAACTTTATTCAATTGAATTAATATGAACAATAATGATATAATCGACCATTGATACATAATTAACACATAAGACATTTAACTTCGAATGCTAAAAAATTATTTTTAACTTTTTTCGATCGATTATTCATGAAAAATACCAAACATTCTTTTCTTGTAACCAGCCTTATTTTAAAAAAAAGCAAGGCTACTCTCATTCAAATAGAATAAATTCAAATTTGTCTGGTGTTTCTTTTTGTTTTTCTCAGATAAAAAATAAAAAAAAAATAGTATTAGAAAAAAATATTAAGATGAATGAATTCTATTTTTGAAAATTTCAAACCTAAATTATAGTATGTTAAGCAGTTATTAGTTCCTCGAAAAATGTTTCTTATGAAAAAAAAAGAACGAAAGAGAGAATGATGATAAATGATTTCGTTCTATTTTCTATATGCATGAAAATATGTAGATAAGATATATTAATGACATCATATCGATCATTTATTTTTTCTTTAAATTATTCATTTGCTTGTTTATTTTAAAAGTTTGATAAAAAAAAAAGAGTAAAAAAAAGTGATCTGTTATTGTAGATCTTATTGAGATTAGTTATCATCGTTTGTTTGGAATTCATGAACATACATATTTAAATAAAGAATCATTCAATGGAAATTATTTTACAAAAATATTTCTTAATCAATTGAATAAAAAAGTTCTTCGACGAGGAGAACATGTATGCACGTCATCTGATGTTTTAATAAATAGGAGTTTCTTTTTCTTTATTCTTATTAGATCATATGTGAAAATATAATTATTGGAATTAAACAAATAAAACGTAAGATTTATTTATTTGTAATATTCAATGTCAATTAAACATATAAATCAGGTGCTTCGTCAACATCTTCGGGAAATATTTAAGTATAATTTCTATTAAAAGATCTTCCATTTAAGTATGTTTGCCTATTTAAAAAAGTATATAACTTGTTTTTCGATCAAATAGAAATAAATAAAAAAGTGAAGTTGATTATAAAATAATGGAAAATACAGGAACATTAAATGATATCTAGAAATAGATTTTTCTATTTTTTTCATGCTATTAAATTCGAGATTAAACAGATTTTTGTTTATTCTAGAAACAAAAATAATATTTAAAGATTTTATTTTTCTTCAATTATTCTGTCCAAGATTATTTTACAAATATTTTCTTATCATATCAATACTGTTACCTTTTTTTTCATACTCCTTTTTACTTATGCTTATACGTTTATTCAATATTTGGACATGTGATGACTACACTCCATTAATGATAATATATGATAAAATACGTATAGATTGCCATAGATATTCTTGGTCATTGATCACCTTTATTTTATTGATGCTTTAAAAAAAAGTCTACTCTAGAATATAGTTTTTTGTCAATTAGGTTCCTGTGATGATGATGATGATGAATTTTTATTCGATTTAAAATATAATTTTCATTTTCAGTTTGTTTGTTTTATCTTTGGGAAGAATTTTCACTAAAAAAAATTATTATTAGGAAATATTCAAAGTCATGAGACCATCTTGTCGGTCTTATTTTTGTTTGTTAAATATTTTTGTATTCAATTAAACATTATTCGACGATTTATAACTTAACTAATCGTAGATGATCTAATTAAGAAAATGAACTGTTTTTGAATTTTATTAAAAAATAATCTATTAGATTTTCAAACCCATCGAAGAAGAAAAATGACCAATAGATCTATACATTAACTTTTGTCATTTGATTACATAATAAATAATATTGATTGACTTATTAAATCAATTTGTTTACTTATTACTTATTTAATTAGGTAAAATTTATTTATTGATAAAAATTCATTAAACAAATTTGAAATAATCGATACATTTTATTAGTTTGTATATATCTCTTTATTTATTGTATTCAGATACATTGACATGTTTCATATCTATTGACATCTAGTTTTTTAAATAGTAACATAATTTCATTCTTTTTTTCTTCTTAATCTAACCAATGTTAAATAGCAACAAGAGTGATACAAAATTTCTTTAGGAAATAAATCGTTGCGAAGAATATCTTCCAATAATTTAAGATGCAATTTATTTATGCATTTTCAATTCATTTTCTCGAAAGTATTTATGAAAATCAGTCGATTAGCTATTCGAAAAATGATTGAGACTTTTTTAAAACTTAAAAAATGGTTTTTCTGCATCTACAGTTGAAGAAATATTGATAGACTTATTTTCAATAAATACATTTAATATTTGCCATTTGACGCAAATATTGTATTTTCTTGATCATATCCAAAAGACTTTCATGAGAAAGATCAACATTATATCGTTATGGGCAAATTCTACGATTTTTTTAAACATATTATTTGTTTCTTTAGCAAATATTCGACTTTTTCTTTCATAACTACTTTGAAGAAAATAAATTTAAAATGTAGGTGTAGGTATGAATCAATGCTACGCACATACCACAATCTTACATTCATATTCATAGTCCACACGTACACTCACACCCACACCCTGTGAAAATGTGTTCTAAAATAAGCAGATTTAAACTATTTGTTATCGATTAGCTAACGCAGTTTGATTGTGTTTCACATTTTAATTCGGCAGAGACTGTGCTAGCGGTTTTTTGTTAATGTTCGTACGCATCTTTTATCAGAAAAATACAATCTTTCACGGACAAGTAGACAAATATTTACTGCCACTTTATATGCAGATCGTATATACGTTTTGTTTTAATATATATTTATTTGCATCTGATTCATACTCCTCTGTTAACTCCCACGAATAGAGATAATCGCAAATGGAAGCCTTATAATACAGCAGTATTCAGTTGAATACAAAGCAATGGAAAGAGAGTGTACGCTTGTTATCAGTATAGTTGAAGTCCGTATTCTGCGTATTGGGTAAGGTAATAAACAAGAAGTTCTTAAGTATTTTAGCAGTTTTTCATGACCTTTGACGCGTTTGAAAAAAGGAGAGAAAAGCGGATCATGAAATCCCAGTATCCCCTATGCCTTCATATCGTCACTGTATCCCGGATAGAAGAGAACACTGTCTATGGTATGGTGAGGATACAGGGGATATTATTGAAAGACGTAGGTTACGAATTGGATAAATAGGTTCTCAGGATTTGCTTTTTCTCTCCTCCGTATAAAGTGATAGTGCGGAATATACTGAAGACAAACGGACGTTTATTGTTTTCGCTCTATACGATTTGACTCAACCCTTTGTTTTGTACACAATGAGAGAATCTTGAACTGGTAGATTGATTAGACACTAAGTAGTTAATATTGCTATTATTTTGAGTTCAGATCTATCATACTGCATAAAATGGTGTGCATAGTGTCGAAATATATTACAAAAACATATCAAACTCTTTGTGATTAATCAGAGCTCTTAATCAGGACTAGCTCGTCAACTGTCTCATAGAATATAGTGCATACATTTTATGTTTTCTCCACTGCATCAAATTTTATCCTCGGTATCCTTCATATTTTAAGTGTATTCCCAGGCTTTTCTTCGTATTTTCAATGTATCCTGGATATAAGGAATCCGCTTTTCCTCTTGTGTCTGAATTTTCCCAAAGAATGAAAAAAACAATATTCGAAAATTGAATGAGTAGTACACGAATGAAGGGTAGAGTCTTGCAACTCAATCCGCATCCGCAACCTGCTTGCAAGTTTTGCCTGATATGGCTTGAGTAGCTACAAATTAGAAAATTGTGGTTGTGTGAATCGGAAAATTTCATCCTGAGCAAGAAAATTTATTGCATGTGCTTTAGATACTTGTGTTAATATTTTGATAATATCCCAATATGTACGTCGCATTAGTCTGAAATCAGTTATGAAGTAAACCTAGTTCTAGAAATTCCGACGTTTTCTCCAGTGCAAATCGAAGTATATAAGCGGCATTTAATGGAACTCATTTTGATTCTACAATCATTACGTTTTTGTAGAAGTCATATATCTTCGAAGACAATAGTGAGTGCAAGTTTAAATTGAAGTTTTGGCGGCTCTTCCCATAAGCCCACCGTAACCGAGCCTACTGACTGATTTCCTCCACCCTAGTAACCGTAGAAGGAAGCCAAAGGTCATTGCATAGGTTTCTATTGTAAAAAGAAATGGCTCGTAACTAATGGTACGGATTAAATCATTCTGAAACTTAGCAGATTCGCACACTTTAGTCTAAATATTGTGGTTTTTTATTTGTCATTCATCCAGGCGACCTTATTCAAGAGATTGATTATTATGATGGTAGCCGTTTTGATCTAATAGAGTCGTAATAGAACGAACGTAGAAAAATCTGAACTGATTGCATCCTAGTTTCAGGCGAAACCCAATAGTATATGTCCGAATTCGTCAAGAGGAAAGCTAATGTGTGGAGTCGCTTACTGAGCGATAAAACCAACGTGTATAGCAAGCTGATATAGTAGCTGAATTGACGAAACAAAGAGCTAAATTATATTTGCCGTTCTGTATGCATATATCGTTGACATATTATTATTAGGAGGAAAGGAGATACGGACTGAAAATGTATTTAATAATATAAATAGGTTTTTCCAGTATAACGAGTTTAAGTGAATCAAATCAATTATTATATAAGTAGTTAAACATACAAACAGTTTCGAAATGATAAAACTTCAAAGAACGTGTATCGACTATAAAAAACTGTTATAATATTGATTTATTCATCTATTTGATACTTTTTAAAAATAACCTATGGTAAAAGCTCCGACAAAATATCATAAAATTATAACAGTTAGATTTTGTGAGTTTCATACTTTGACCTCGAAAGGAACGGCACTGACAAGGTTGTTTTTTTATACTGATAAATGTAGCACTTGCAAGTGCTTACATGATAAAATAATTAAAAACTATGATATTTAAGCATTAAGCACAACACAAAAGCGATAAGTTTTACAATCTCTATAAATATCATTATACAAAGTATTGAATCTACTCGTGTGGGTATAGAAGAGTAAATACCACGACGAAAAAAGCAAAACA